AAACACCTCCCTGAGGCAGCGAGAACTCAAAATCAAATTACATGTTTAACAAACAAACCACTTGCATGCCCGGAACACTGCCACACACGCACACACACAGGACGCAGGACGCAGGGCACACACCAAGCCATAAACATTATGCATGCCGCATGCCTCTTGCCACTTGCCCCTTATTGTATGTAGAGCTCTTGGTCGCATATCGCAATCATAAATGCCCCAATGCGTTATGTTTGGACTAATTATTCAACATTAATTCTAATTTGATTTGTTTATTTTGTATAACAAAATGTGTTTGCATTTTGCTCTCTCTCTCTCTCTGTGTTTGTGTGTGTGTTGCAGACAGCAAGAAGGCAGCTCCCTACGTGCTCAACACTGCAACAAAATACCCGCAGCAATCCAGAATCTACCCACACAACACAAAAATAACATATCTCCCCCGATTTCTGACCACAATGTTCCACACAAGGCTCCATGATATTTCCTCCAAAATCAATCAAATTCATCTTCGGACTGCTTTTTCTTTTAGCATCCACAGAAATCGATTATCCTGTAATTACTTTCGGATGGTCTAATACTATACTAGCATGACACAAGATTTAGTTATGTGAAGCTTAAATATTGACTTTTCTGCTCTTTTCTCCTTCAATGAGTTGTCCTTACAGCTTTATTTCTCTCAGTGTGGGAGTGTGTGTTTTGGTGTGTTGGTTTGGGTGTGTAGGAGTTTGTTGTGCACGTTGCTGCATGGCCAGAGCCCTTCGTACCGCTCAGACCCAGCCAAACCCCTTGATGGAAATTCAATAGAATTTTGTTTGGACCGTAATTAAATAACACTCGTCATTCGTCCGTCTATGTTCATATGTAAATGGGGGCAGGATTAAACATTGTTTAATGCTCATTCGTGCACACATATCGGGCTATCAATATGTGTGCATAAAGTGCACCGATAAATATTGGAAAGGCCATGGAACTTGGATTGGAATTCTTGCCATTATTTAAACGTGTTTAGGTGTAATGTACTCGAGTATGCCCGAGCTGATTAATCCACCGGAGAGTTTTTCGCACAGCAAACAAGCCTAAAGGGAGAAATGACACATGGGACTCGCCCCCAGAAATTGGGGGCGTTCATCATCATTCAAGGCATTCGTCGCAGCTGCAAGTGGCATCGCCAAATGCCAAATGCAAACATCAGCACAACAGACAGCAGCAAACACCAAACAAAACGCGGCATGGAAATGTATATTTCGACCATGACATACCCTCTATTTGAAAAGAGCACTTGGAAGAACAGAAATAATCCATAAAACACACACTTGGATGTACCTATGTGGTCATGGCTTTGTAGTGCACCTGAATACCAAGCATATCCTTGTATACCCCTCGAATGCGGGATAGAAAAGGAACAAGCCCTCTGGGCTGGTAATAGGGTTGGAATAGAGAGAAGTTCATGAAAGTGTGTCTGTGTTTAGCGACTGTTTTCGCTGGAGTCCATCCTCAAGAACTCTAGAAATCCTGAATGAAGTAAACGCTGTTTGAATAAGCGGCAATGCGTAGAGTGTACAGCAGCGAGTGAGTTGAGTGAATCTTTTGATTATTCCAGAGGCAAGCCAATCGAGTTCCACAAACTGATTTCCTACTGATTGTTGCCGGAATGCCATCCCATCTGTCTCTAATTTGATGCACATAAGACTTGATGCTGGAAAAGGTTTTTCTCAGTGATAATTGTGAAAGAGTAAACTCGTTATATTTTTCCACTATGCATTGTATATGGCAAGAAGCCCATGAGATCGATGAAAAGAAATTGCTGTTTAGCTGTTTGCATCTATATTGCTGTCTGCTATAGATGCAAAAGCTAATACCACAAATAAAACACACAAAAATAAATGCTGCACCTGCACTCGTCAACAAAGAAGGAAGAAAGCACATTTATATCAATGTTTATTTGAATTATAGAGTTGTAGAGAGAGCTCCAATTAAGTGGATAACCGATATGCTGATCGACAGGATGCGCAACCTGCGCTTCCCTTGTCATTTTCCATTTTCCATTTAGGTACTGTCTGTGGGTGTGGAAAATGCATCTTCTATTTTCTGTAAGAGGGAAATTGCTTGCACGTGTGTGTGTGTGTGTGTGTGTAGGTGTGGTGCAAATGCTTGCTTTTTGGGTGTGGTGTGGCAAAGAGCAATGCAAATGATTTAAGCATTGGAGCCCACAATCGAGATAATGAAAGACAAGCTGCATGCTGCCACAATCTCCCCGAGGAGGTAAGCCAACATTGTGTTCCCCCTCTCACTCTCTCTTTTTCTCTCTCTCTCTCTCTCTCTCTCTCGCTCGTTCTCTCTGTGTTTTGGGTGGATTACACAGGACCCTTTGCCAGTACTCCAGACCAGGACCCATATAAATAGGGAATAGTTTTTGCCAACACCACCACAGGAGCCACACCAATGGCAATGGATGACAAAGGCCAGGAATGGGGACAGTGAACACTCGGTGGCCAAGACCACAGAGGCCCCCGCCCTACCTCCCTACCTCCCTCCCTCCCACGCGCCCTGTTTCTACGTGTGGTGTGGCTGTCTGTCTGATGTGGGCTGAGGTGGCGTTTACGTACGTACGTTAGGGGTATTTATGACATTTTGTAATGGAAAACCGCAAGCGTACTCTAATTAGCAAATACAGGGGAAGACTCACACACACACACACACACACACCCGCTGGCACGTGCAGAGCATCTTTATTTGATATTACGCATACGCCACGGATGACAATGGTTTTTGCGAGTTAGAAGTAAGGAAGGCAGGAGGGAAGAATGGGCATCCCATTGCATACCATGAACTCTGGTAACCTTGTCAATGCCTGCTCCATGCCCGACCCCAACACTATGGGGAGTGTTACCCCTTTCTATTGGCAAAAATTTAATAACTTCCAAGCCAAAGAATATTTTGTTGTTGTTGATTTTGTTTGTTTCCTATTAGTTCATATTAGTGAGAGAGAAAGCTGCCAACAGTGGTAAGCTCTGTTGTTTGTTGGAACCATCGCGGCTAACAATAGATAATTTTGAGATAGTTTTGAGAAAGGGTTTTGGCCAGAAAAAGTGGTAAAATTCCCCATAGTGCACAAGAAGCAGAACGAAATTTTAATGAGCACACAAGAGATATGAAAGCAAAAACACGACAGCTGAAGAAAGGTCGAAAGAGATGGATGGGCACGTCAGCATAGGAGGTTCCTGCTGGTTACAGCAGCTAACAAAACGATGCCCCAAAGTCAGCATTCACTTGCGGAAAGCATTTTTCCATCTATTTCCGATGAAGAACTGCAGATGACTGCAGGCACAACGCTTAAAGTCGAAGTTAAGCTAACATGGGGCCTAGGCTAAGCGGAGTATTGTATAAATCAAGGTATAAATATATAAGAATAATAGTCTCAGTGCTGCGGCCTGACATGACAGGCAACAAGGAGTAAGGGAAGCTCCCTTCGACAGTTCTCAGCGAATGAAGCTGTAATGAGCCACAGAGGAACACACATTCTAGTCAACTTTTCAGTTGATTTATTGCGACACCTAAACCCATACACGCACATACATATGCACATATTTATGGCACTATCTGGTGCTGTACATCTGGGTGGATCAGGAGGAGCTGAGGAGATAGCCAATTAACGCTGCTGTTGCCGCTGCTGCAATTATTTTTAAATGCATCTCATCAAAACTAATTGCTTAAAACTGAATTAATTAAAAAAATACAAACAAAAATACAAATACAAATGTCCAGAGAGAGAGAGAGAGAGAGATGGAGAGAAACCATTGAATTAGATAGTATGGAGTGGTTCCATTCCGTGTAGATGCTGAAGGGCAAGCCTCTCTGAAACCGTGGATACCCCACAATGCTGCCGCCCCGAAGTGAAGATCAAGGAAAAGGCAAATGGAGGAGGGCAAATGCGGATTGGGGCTGTGGGCGCACTGGGAGGTGAAGGAGCGACAAAGTATGGCGAGCGATGCGAAGGCGCCATATTGTTAACAATTCTGTGTGCATACTAAAATGGCGGCCCCCCCGGAACCACACTTGCCCCACAGCAGGGGGCACAGCATCCATCCAGCGGCAACAGCAGCAGCGGCAGCTCCCCTGACACTGTGTTGTGTTTAATTTCTTTTTGCTGCCGTTGCTGCTGCTGCTGCTGCTGCTGGTCGTGCCTCTGCAACATCTACTTCTGCCACTGCTGCGTGGCATGCAAATGAAATGTCATAAAAATTGCAACTCTGCTGCGATGGTCGCAGCGGCGCTGCGTTGCTGCAGCGCTGGCAGCGGCGTCAATGCAATGTTGCAGCTGCCACACCATGGACCATGCCGCCTCTGCCACCGCTGTCAACCGCAGCAATGAAGCAGCGACGCTGCGCGCATATTTTCCAAGATTTTTCCTTTTTTTTTTTAATTTTAGAAAAAACGCAGACAATTTTTTTCTGTGGCTTTTGCTGCTGCTGCTGTTGCCTGGCGCTGTGGCAATGTTGCAGGGAATATAAAATTGCACGGAGGCTCGGCACCACACACACACAGAAACACACACATAAACGGACACACACGCCTCCTGGGAGGGAGAGGCAAAGCGAAGAGAAGGTGGGAAAAAGCCATGGAAAGCCAGAGGAAAATCCCGAGTAAGGTGGCAAGGAAAGCCACAGGGACAGAGAGCCAGAGGCAGCGGCAGTGGAAAAGCCAACGACAGTTTAGAAAATGTGCAAACGTATTAAATTTCAGACGCCCAGAGCGGATCCATTGGAACCGAAATGAAAGAGGAGTAAAGGCGTTGCGGTCACCCAATTCCCGTGGGCGGACGCACCACACGTGGCACCGTGCCCCGAAGTGCCACTGTAACTGTAGATGCAGATTGGAAATGAGGTTTTGCGGCGGGGACAAGCTCAAAGGAAAAGCTCAACGTCCATCCGATTGCTTGAGACACCAAAAACAAAGCTGCAGAGCATGTGGCAGTGCTTCAAAAATTAATTCAAAGAATGAAGTTCGTTTTAAACTTCGCTCTGTAGAAGTATTTCTTTGCTGTTATCACGAGAGCCTGGAGCAGACTGTTAGCTGAGAGCGGTAACAGCCTGTTATTATGCGTCGTTAACAGCGCCGTTGCTCTGTGCCGTTAACAGCGCCGTTGCTCTGTGCCGTTAACAGCGCCGTTGCTCTGTGACTTACAGCACTGATTGCTGGTAATTGGAAGGTTCTTCAATCAAATCCACATGGCTCGGGCGCTGGCTCTGCTGCTGACTCTCCACTGACGGCTCTTTCTCCTCAATATCCTGCCTTCGGCATCTACGTACGCCGTCCCTTGCCGTTCTGGCAAATGGCCTGTAGAAACGGGAATGCTGCCACTGAATCTGCACCAGATAGGAGTAGGCCACCAGCTCAAAGTACAGACCGAGGACTGCAAGTACAAGTAAGAGTCTATCAGGAAGGATATTATGGTGGTACAGTGGGTACAGTGGCACCTACTCAGTAGCAGAGAAAGGAAAAGTATTTCGTAGTAGCAATACAAACAAGTTCGCTGGGCATGCTGAAGGATGAACAGGGGGCACAGCAGCAGATGCACCACATTCGCGAAGAGATAGATCCTAACGAGACAATGCCATTCCTGGAAAAGAAATCTCCACTGAGATCACAGACTCTTCCCCATGGATGCCCAGAAGCCATACCAGCAAAGCGCCAACTGTCAGCATTGCCGATCCGATGAGGTACACCATGTAGCCGAGACGACCAACATACAGCAGCAAATTACCTGTGAAGAGAGGGGTGAGGGTGTCCAGCATCAGTGGGCGCTAAGGAGCACATTCCATTTACTTTCCCCAAACAGCAGGCACATCGCCGAGGAGCACATCTCGAATAAACCCATGAAGCAGCAGCCCACCCGCAGATCCACACAGAAGCAGCACTCCTTCAGACTGTGTCGCAGCCTCTTCTTGCGGCGCTCGTAGGAGACCTCCCCACAGTTCGAGGGCAACCCAAGTGGCTGCTCCAGCTCCTGCTCTTCGACATCACTGTAAGAGTACTCCGGCGTTGTCTGCTCCTGCTCTTCCTCGACAAGTTCAATATCGCTGAAGGAGTACTGGGGCGTTGTTTGGGTCTCGGCTTCCAATACGAGCGGTATTTGAGGTGTCGTGTCACTGCATTTTGACATGATGTTTCCAACAAATATCCACTGATAGTGTGCCAGAGAAATGCTTCTTTTGGTTTATTCTCTCATTTAGAATTTTGCTTTGATTTGTTCCCCGACAAGTTCACAGATTTGTAGCCTGCTTTCTGTTGATTGTCAAAATCAAAAATAATTCTTTGGATCTTCAGGAATATCTCTCCACGTGCCCTGCTCCCTGCTGCTGCTCTCTTCTCTTTGGCCTCAGAATCACTTCAATTTCTCTTCATGCAAAAAGTTCTTCCTGCTGTTGTTCCTTTTAGCTGCCTTTGCCCAAAAATTCTTGTCACATTTGCAACATTTGGGAGCGCATGATTTGAGCAGGGCGGTGCGGGATGCGGTGGGGTAGTGGAAGATATAGTGCCGGCTTTTTTGGTCACAAAACCCGTAAACCCAGCAATATCCCATCCCCTGCCTCTACCCCTGCCCATGCCTCTGTCTCTGTTCCTTCCACAACTTCCGACATGCACTCAATGCTCTGGCTCTTGATGATGATGTTGCTCCAACTTCTGTGTGGACTGTGGACTGTGGACTGGCCTGGACTGCTGATGACCACAGGACATACACCCACACACATGACAGGCAGCACATAGGAGCAGCAGGAGCACCAGCAGCACACCCTGTGCCTCTGCAGCAGCGTGCCACAAGCTTCTGCCTGGCTCCCCAGCTCTTTTGCATCCATCTTAAAACCTCCCGCCATTCTCCTGACATCTCCTGCCACCTCCCATAGCTCCTAGTCCCTCTATCAATTCAAAAAATGTGACCAAGTGCGTGGCAAAGTTCTTCCACATTTGGACAACTTTCATCGGACTCCTGGCAACCATGCCCTTGCTCTCAATTCGGGGTCCCATATGGTGTGTCCTGCCCACCCTTCTGTGCGTGGTTGTGTGTGTGTGTGTGTGTCCAAAGAGGAGCGGCCAGACCCTGCAGGAGAAAGCGGATCAAAATTATTTGAAGCTTTTGCAATTTTTGTAATTAAGCGAACAAAGCCAAACATTTGCTCAGGCATTTTCCCATCCATCTAGCAGGATGCAGGAGAAGTTGGTGGCAGCGGAGGAGGATTGTTGCTGGGTTGGGTGCAGCTGCAAGTGGCAGCTGAAAGTGCCAGTTTTATTGTTGCCCCACTGTTAGTGTAGCTGTTACCCCGCACAGTTGTTGCAAAAGTTGCCGGACAACTGCCGGACAACTGCAAAAACTGCAGCATGCAAATCGAAAAATAATTACAATTGCGCAAAGTTTTGAAACGAACAGTGAAGAGACAACTGTAAGCCCATACCCATTCTATCCTGCTCCCTGCTCTAAGGGGGGAGTGTCCCTGATTTCTATCCGTTTCCGAGAGACACAGACAGAGACGGCCAGGGAGAGAAAGTGTACAATGACCAGAGATGGTGTTCACATGTGGCAAAGAATTAGGAAAATAGTAGAAACAGCAGGAAAGTATGTGAAGAATCAGGTAAGGGCAGAGGCAGAGGCTGCACCGAAAGAATTTCGTGGCAAAGCCCCTTCAATAAGCATAGAAGCAGGAGACATTAATCATTCGATTGGTGGTATTCGAGGCAGCAGCTAATAAAATTTGCTAAACTAATTGCATTACCTCTCACATATAATACTCTAAAAGCAAGTCATAAATATGACCATCTAGGAGACCTTTAACCCCTTTGAATATCCCTAGAATTAGACAACTAAACGAGTTTTGTTAATGATCAAAGTGATCTTTACTTTATAATATATTTCGCAGTATAGCAGCATTTTCTCGCAGGATGTGTCCTTGAGTGGATATGTACATAAGTATATGCTGTGGCAGTGCATTTTGTAAAGGAGTTAGAGGGTTAGAGGGATATAGACGAGGGGAAGACTGCTTTGCCCCCAAAATAACGAATTTCGCATTAGCCACACATTAAAACTGTTAATGCGTTTGTCTCTTTCTATCGCTCACTGTCACTCTCTCTCTCTCTGTCTCTGTCCCGTGGCAGATGAAAACTTTGAAAACTCATTCAGTGTCATGTAGATTTTTCGTATTTTTACTTGTGCCCCCTGACGAAAAATAATTGTTGACTAACTTTTTGCCCAAGCTCATAAAAGTGTGCCCGTGTCTCCCAGCCTCCCAGCCTCCCAGCCTCCAAGCATCCAAGCCCCGGCCTCCTGCCAGCACCCATTATTTGGGATCTCCTCTACTCTGGGGCCCCATTATCCGTGGCAAGCCCCCCTCCGGGTGTCACGAAGGCAGTCGACAGTCTGCAGTTATCGCAGTGTTGGTGGCATTTTAAAACTATTGTTCATTTCAAGCATCAAGAAACTTGCCAAATTGTTGCTGAAGCGCCTGTCGAAACTTTTTAATTTTGACGCCCTGGCAGGTGGTGTGTAGCCCTGACCCACGGCCACTGCCAGGGGTGTTGCAAGGAGTCGATCCACGGACAATACCAAGCGCCCTTCAATCTATAGCGGGAATAGGACAATTCCTAGGGGTTTAGGTCATCATTAGATGGATATTATTGGGTAGAGACAAACGTAAAAGAGTTTCACTTCATATATGGGGGATTTAATGGGAAAGAGAGACAGTAACAGCGTCTGCAGAGTAACGGAACGCAACAGAGTCTGTTGAGTTAACAGAGATTCCGCATCTGAAGAACGAACAGAGCCAAGAGAGAGAGAGAGAGAGAGAGAGAGCCAAGACTCAGCGATCGACGCCACATAATCGGTGATATATGTGTAATTTATAATAACATATTTTTGGCCTTAAATTATGAACGAGTTCGATTTGTAGTGTATAGTTCATGTCCTAAAAGACCCATACCTTTTAATCATTCGATTCCAAGCTAATATCGCTTACAATCTGGAGACTAATCTCATTTGGGTTGCCGTTTCGTGCTTCCCTAACATTGCTCATACGCACCATTAGCTATAGGGAAGGAAGAGAGAGGGATGTGCCCCCCAATGTGCCACCCACTGTGGCACTTGTACGACCGAACATTCCCCATCGGACAATGAACGTTGAAAACGAAGGCCCAGCCCGGCATCGTCTTTGATTCAATTAACTTTGTTTATCGCGCATAATGCATGGATTATCAATATCAATTGACATCAAATTCGGTTACTGGGATGAGCCAATGACCAAATTACCAAAAGAATATTAACAGAATCTCTTCGTCTGCAAGGCAAAAATGTTTGGACAGCGGTTTTGTGCTGAGGCATTGAAAAGTTTTCCCTTGTTAATACACTTAACAGGGGCCATTGGGAGTTTTGGAAGCAGAAAGGTTCTTCCCTAGTAGATCCCTTGGATATTCTGCAGAAGCTGAGACTTTGATTGATTCTGAAGGGTATGTAAAGGTTCGGCTCGGGCTTATGCATGCCACTTTTTGCGGCAACCATGGCTGTGGCAGCGGCTGTGGCATTTCAATTAAATCCTCCCCCATCTAATTGAATTGAATGGAAATTGAATTGAACACTGTTCACTGGTGGGATGTCCTTTTGTATGTGTATCTGTGTGGTCCACTTAAAGCTGACCCTGTGACCCATTAAATGCTCTCCTCCCTCTCTCTCCGGGATCTTGTCCGATGTTTTGTTGCAAGGCAAAAAAACACAAAAACAAAGTGAGTTTAATTTCAACTTAAGATGTGGATGAAGTTGATTGCTGCTGACATGGGGAAAGCCAGCGACAGTGAGTTAACTTTGTATCTGGCTTTAATTGCCACACAGCCACGCACCCACACTCAGATAATTAAAAAGTTTTCTTTCTGCGCTGCGTATAGTGAAAAAATCATGTTGCCATATTCTTGCCCTCCCTCCGCCTCCGCCTCCGCATCCGCCTTCGTCTTTGGTATAAGGAAGCGTTCCACTTGCGCTCAGGGCGGCAAAAAGAGGAGGCACACAAGGGGAGCAGGTTGAGGTATGTAAATCAGGATGAGGCAATGTATTTGCAGGGATTAAGGTGGAGAGGAGTCACCGCCTCCAACTTGGCTCAACTTATGCATTATTATTTGCCTCCCCAACATGACATTCTTTGCACTTTCCACGGTGTGTGCCTACGCCCCGTTTTCGTCCAGGGTACACTCAGGTATGCCAAACTCAGAGCTAGCATCTAGGATCTAGCAGGCTATGCATTTTCCGTCTATACAAATATAGTCAGTAAGCCCACAAAAATTCATTCGCTTCACAGAGAGCATTACAAATAGAACACGAAATTGTAACGAAAAATATTCAGTTTGTGGAATTCCATTCTCTGGCAGACTCCTACTCGTAGAATTAGGTAAGCGAAAATAATATTCTTATCTGGGAACTATTTTAGTATAGAAAATGGCAGATAGGCTTGTTTTTGTGCACTTGGTATGTGGTCAGCCATGAGGCGTAACTGAATGAATGCATAATGCAAATTAATTCACAAATATCAGGTGGTTGCCATGCCATGCGCAGACTTTGCCTCAAGAAGTGGCCATAATTGTGGTGTGCCACCAAATGCCAAGGCATTTGGTTTATCTACAAGCACTCTTTTGGGTGCGAGATGAATGCTGTTGTCAGATGCCACTTGTGCAGGTTGCAGGCTCCTCCTACGACTGCATTTTGTGAGGTTTTACCTGTGGTCTCTGTGCTGCAGCTGCTCCTCTGGACTCTTCTAAGGAAGGCCTTCAGCATTTTTGTATGTGCGAGTTTTCCAACAAATTTCTCAGCATATGCACATTATTTTGGCAGCGAATCTTCACTAATTCACAGGGTAATTTTTGGATTATGAAAACCCTTTAGCTTTCGGCTCTACTCCAGGGTGTATCCAAGTCGACTTTCAAGCCGCAACCATTGACATTTCGCTTCATGTTGTGCTCTTTATGGCCGCCGCCAAACCCAGCCTGAAGAATGAGAGAGAGAGAGAGATGGAGAGCAAAGCCAAAGTCATTTCGACAAAGTTCACATAATCAAGGCATCTCTCCCTCGCTCAGTTACTATCTTCCTCTCTCTCTGTCTCTGTCTCTGTTTCTATTTATGTCTGTCCTTAACTCATTCTCAGATTTTGCTCTCAGTCGGATTTCGACACATCAGCGACGGCGACGGCGACGTTGGCAGAGCGTTGGCAGAATGTAATTTGTTTTATGGTTTTGTAACCGTTAGTTTTCCAGCACATAAATGCATGCATACGAAAGCTCTCTCTTTCTCTCTCGCTTTCTCTCAAGTGCATTTTCGTTTGCAAGGCAAATTTATGCAGCACTTCGTCACGTCAAGCCTTATTATTGTTAAAGATTCTGGCATTGCATTTGCTGGCACATTTCCACAGAATAAGTTTTAATTAAAATGAAAATCAAAATCTGTCTGCAGCTGCCTCGCAGTCTGCCTGTCTCTTTGCTCTGCTGCAGGATGCAATATATTAACTAATTTGCATTGCATCTTAAGACAGTTTGCACCTTCTTGGCATTCCTAATGGGCATTACAACACCTTTCCGGGATGCTAACGATACGTTTAAGGACTTGAATGCACTCCTGCACTTCTGCACTCCTGCACTCTTCCCCCAGCAGTTCAACTCCCGCTCTTTTGCTCCTTTGGACTGTGAAGTTTTTGGGGGTGGTGGGGGCTGCAACGTTTTATTGCCTTCATATTTCCCATGTCCTGGACGTCCCAGAATTCTGTCATAAATTGCACAAGCCTTGCACAAATGAACCGTACACTAGAGGGAGTCAGTTCAGAGCAGCAGCCAGCAAGAGGAAGCGAGGCCGAGAGTGGAATAGAGAGAGGTGGGGAGAGAGATAGGGGCAGACTTTCGAGGATACACACCGATGCGCATACATAATTTGAATAACTCACAAAAATGCACATTTATCGCATAATTCTGTCGTACATCAGAGCGTGTAAGGACACACAGACACACACTCACGCAGGACCCTGCCATCCGCATCTCTCTCTTTATTTTGTATGGTTGGGAAATCTATCGTGCACATGCAAGTTCCCTTCTAAATGGATTCACACAGGTGTAATACGCATTCATAGGAGCCTGGCTGGTCTGCCCTGACACCGACACCATTTCCAACAATGTTTAAATTTTGACACTCGCTCCATTTCCATCTGACACAATGTCCAATGCCAGAATATGATTTGATTGTGCAGGGGGGAAAAATAGAATTAGAATAGAAATTAAAGACGTCGGACTCTAATGACTCTGAAGACTCTTAATTCTGCAATTAAATAATGCCTACGGAAAGTGCTCCCGCTGTAAACGGCTCACAGACTGTTAACGGAGAACGGCAATGTGGAGTCTTTGCAGGCTGTGCAAGCTGCGCGCTTGCTCTGTTGCAGCCACTGCCCTGAGCATTCTGTGTCGCTCAATACATATACATTTAAAATATAATCATTAGCAGAATATCCTACGGTGAAATATGCTCGACCGCGATTCATTTAATGGTAATGTCATGCAAATGTCCTGCAGACAGCCGATGCCCAAGCCGAAGCGGAAGCCGCACCCAAGCCCAAAGCCCAATGTCCGTTCCGTTTCGTTCCGTTCCGTTCATCTCTGTCTGTTAATTAATTCCTGGGACACACACGTCATAACCAGGAATGCATTAAGTAGCCCGCACAGTGAGTGCATTTGTTATGTGGTTAGACCCAGAAGGGGAATTATAATACATCTCGTCGTTGTGCTGCATCTCCACGAGTGTACGGGTGTATTCATGTAATCGTGAATATCAAGTGGGTTAATGCCAAAAGCAGACCTTGGGCTGCAAGGCTCTCCAAGACGTGACCATAACTGTGCGGTTTGCCAAGAGAACTTTGGCATTTTCGGACCACGATAGGGTTGTCAGAATCAGAATCAGAATCTGATTCAGATTCAGGTTCAGCCCGGGTTCATTGCAGGGAACTGTCCATCAATCTGGTGGGTGTGTTCCAGCTGCTCCTTCAGCTTGAGGTTTCTCTCCGGACTCCGGACTGGATGGTACATGGCCTACAACAAAACTCATGACAAAATCATTACAAACATTTGGAATAGTTATCGTTCTATACTTCCTACATACGAGTACGTACACCTCCTGCTGCTCCTCCTTCCTTCTGCTCTTTCCTTTCCTTCTGCTGCTTCTGTTGCTGCTGCTGCTGCTGCTGCTGGCTCTAGGAAATGGCAAAAGCTGTAAAAAATTTGCATTTTTATAACAACTTAAGTCAGCAGACGACGACTTTACTTTTCCGAGCACTTGAACTGGTTTTTCCTTTACCCCATACAAAGTTTTGCATGCGTGTCGCTCTCCCACTCATCCTGACCCCGCCGCCTGCATATCAGCATATCTAAACCATATAGTGTGTATGTATGTATATACTCCCCCTCTTTGTACCATCATGTGTGTGTGTGTGTGTGTGTGTGTGTGTGTGTGTGTGTGTGCATTTATAATAGCAGTTATATTTATGAACTAGAGAAAAAAGAGAAGAAAACGTTGTACCAAAAAGCCAGCAAAAATTGTGTCCATTTTGCAATTTGCCGCCGGCGCGGTGCACACCAGGCAAAGTGGTTGAAATCGGGCGGACAGGGGCCCAGGGAGCCGGACAAGGTGGCGCTGGGATAAGTGGAGACATATGCATGCATGCATCGGGGTGGGGTGGTGGTAGATGCGACTGAAAATGAACTTCAACGAGAGTAAGTCCTGCCCCCAATGGCAGTGTCTTGCACATAAGATCCAAGAAAATTCTGATTTGTGCCAAGCAACCATCGAACAGTACTATTACTTACCAACATTTGTGTTTTATTTGTACTTAGTTAATTGAAACAGCATTTAAAATTTGTAATTTAGTATTTTGAAAATTGTGTCCCTATTTGCTTTTTCCAACAGCACTGCATAACAGCCACAGATTAGCTTCCAGTTACCGCCCTCCGTTAACAGTCTGTTAAACAGCCCTGTTACAGTGCACTGTTAGCTCCCTCTAAGAGCGATCCACGCGGATTTCGAGCGCCCTTAGCGTGTAAGCTGTGCCAAATATATTGAGTTCTTTAGTTGTAAGTAAGCATATACCAGAAATAATACAATTTTATATAAATTCAAGGCAACAACTGAAGTCAGTGCCTCTAATTGCTGCCTTTTACTCAATCAATATTATGTTAATGCATCGGAATAATGATTTATTCATTTCTTGCTTCTCCATTTAGATTCAACCTGATTCTACGAATAATAAGGATTCACTCCCCCAAATCGAGGAGGATATCAAGGAGCAACAACACTCAAAACACTTGTCATTTGTGGTGGCAAGCCACTTGTAAACTCAACAGAAAACATAATCTATATTCAAAATGGATTTGCTGGCTATAGGGCAGTCGGTGATGGTGCAGCGATCGAATGGAGAAACCCACAGGGCGACCATCACTAGGCTGAATGCGGAGCGCGACATCGTGAGTGTGCAGTGGACTGAAGCGGATGGCGACAAGGGGAAGGATCTGCTCCTGGATCGAATTATTGAAACGAATCCAGAAATATTTGCTCCCAAGGCGGTCGTTCCGCCCGCACCCACCAAAACTTTGTCGCAGCCGCAGCCGCAGCCGGAGTTGCAGCCGCTGCCTAAGCCGCAACCGCAACCGCAGTCGGAGTCGCAGCTGCAGGTCGAAGTGACCACACCCACACCCCTTTTGCTTCCGGAGGATCCCCAGAAGCCGGACACAGAGACTTTGGTTCGCTATTTTCGCAAGCAATTGGTGTTGCATCCGCTCGTGGCGGTGGGCTTGTCGGGACCCATGAAGGCCAGCGGCATAATGGTCTGTGTGCGCAAGCGTCCGCTCAACCCAAAGGAGGTGGCCGCGCGCGAGGTGGACGTGATCAGCCTGCAGCCGCCGAATATGCTCGTGGTGCATCTTTTGCGCCTCCACGTGTACCGAGAGCCCACCTTGGATCACCAGAACTTTTGCTTCGACCGCGTCTTCGACGAGAATTGCTCGAATGCCGGCGTATTCAACTACACGGCTCGCCCCCTCATCCGCCACATCTTCGAGGGCGGCTGGGCCACGTGCTTCGCCTATGGGCAGACCGGCAGTGGCAAGACCCACACCATGGGCGGAGTGGTGGAGGGAAAGAATCAGAACGTGATGGACAGCATCTATGCCATGGCCGCCAGCGAAGTGTTCTCCATTATCCAAGAGCCAGAAAGTGCCGAACGGAACCTGAGCGTCGGCTGCAGCTTCTTCGAGATCTACAACACGAAAATCTATGACCTGCTTAGCCCCGGCAATAAGCAGCCGCTGCGCTTGCAAGAGAACTGCCAATATCAGATGGAGGTGATGGACCTGATAGAGTGCCCGACGAGCGGCACCGCCGAGGTGCTGGCGCTGCTGAATACGGGCAATGGCGCCCGCGCCCTGGGCAAGACCTCGGCGAACGAGAAGTCCTCACGCTCGCATGCAATCTTCCAGATTGTCCTGCGCAGCGCCATCTCCAAGGAAACGTATGGCAAGTTCTCGCTGGTCGATCTGGCCGGCAGCGAGCGGGCAGTGGATAACTTCAGTTCAAACAGCCAGACCTGCACGGAGTCCGCGGAGATCAACAAATCCCTGCTGCTCCTCAAGGAGTGCATCCATGCGATGGGGCGCAAGAGCTCTTACATACCCTTTCGCGACTGCAAGCTCACGCAGGTGCTGCGCGACTCTTTCATCGGCAAGAACGTAAAGACCTGCATGATAGCAACCATTGCGCCGGGCATGTGCAGCGTGAACAGCACCCTGAACACCTTGCGCTACGCGAATCGCGTCAAGGAGCTCAAGGTCCAGGCCCCGGTCGTGCCCCCCATGCCTCCCTTGACCGCCCAGTTGTCAAAGGTCCTTGAGTCGGATGCCACTGAGAAACGCCAAGCTGCCGATCCTATAGGCGATATCCCAACCTACACACTTGATGGCCAGATATACTGTTCGCTCTGCTCGCAGCCTGTGACCTGCATGCCCGTCTTGTGTCCTTATTTTGGCCTATCTAATAAAAAACCCCAGTAATGGCTCAAGCCTAAACCAAACGACTTTAATTCGGCAAATGTTTCCCAGCAGAGAGAGAGAGAGAGAGGGAGGGAGGGAGGGAGAAGTCCTCTTGAAATATGCAACAGTCATCGTCCTGTGGACGTTTTGTCCGCTGGACAGGATGGAAATAACTTGATGCGGACGCATGTAGACACTGCTAATGCGCATTGTATGCGATAAGTTCCAGAGCCCCAGAACCCCAGACGCTCTCTCTCTGTCTCTGCCTGCCCCCCATGGCCAACTTCCGACAGCTTCATCGTGGCACAGTGCACTGTGTTGGGTGTGCAAAGGGAAATGCTCATCCCATTGCTGGTGCTCGTTGCGGGGAAGACACTTTTGGAGCCACTGTGCTGTCTGCTGTGTGCTGGGCTGTCGTCAACGATGTGAAGTTTGCCTTCCGCTCGTCGCTTCACATGTTAGCCCTTGCCACCGGCTACCACTTCTCTCTCAGTTCTCCCAGTTCTCCCAGTCTCCTTCCTGGATATGGTCTGCTCCGGTCTGGTCTGCGTCGTTTCGAGTCCGCTTGTCGCACGACCAACACAAATTACCATCGTTGAGCAGAAGCACCACTAACAAGTAGCAGGAAGCAGAGGGAAGACTGCTGCACCTCGTCCATTGTCCGTTTTGAGTTAGAGAGTGATGATGAAAAACGGGCTCTTGATGTTTGTCCCTACACCTCCTGCTGCTGCTCGTGCTCCTCCTCCTCCTCCTGCTACTGCTGCTACTTCTCCGTCATTTGTTTAAATAATTCACCGAGACGACGGGCTCTGGCATGCATATCGAGTCCCCGTAGCGTCTCCTGGGCGTCCGGTGGCTATGCGCTCACATGCATATGTAAGGAGCCAGCCCAGACCAGGTCGCTCTTCATCTCTGTCGCTGCGTTTTAGTATGCATGCTGCAATTTCTATATGACCATGCCGCCACTTGCAATTGCTTGCTTGCGTGCATATTTTATTCCCATTCTCTTGCCTTCCCTTGCCTTTGCCTTTTTTCATGGCAATTTGGCGCTGTTGCAGCTGCTTGGATTTTTTATCGCTGCGCCACTGCTGGGCGCAACATGTTGGTCATTTGCCGCATACGTAAGTAATCTGTGCTTGCAAATCACTTGATGGCGCTCAAATTATATCAATTTAGCAAGAGAGAAAGATTGTTCAAACCCAAGAAGGTCATAGTCAGATTTAAATTCAAATTCCTTGTCAGTGGCAACGCTGTGCGATCATTAATATCGAATATCGATGGATTCGCAAAATGCTGCCAGATCGATAGGAAAAGATTGAAAGTGTTCTATAAATTATATTTAATTGAATTAAATACATTGGGATCGGATTTTAAAGAATGTAGGAAGTTGCACTGCATAAAAGATCAGTATGCAAGGTATGTAATGTAAGTATACATAGTTTTTGTTTGATCGGAAGTCGTATTCCTCGATTTTCAGATTCTGTTTAATACTGGCAGCTGGCCAGGACTCCTAAGACTAAATACATCATTTTATCGGATAGTTTTATAAATTTCCTATAATGGTTGCTAGTTTTCTGGACCCTCTTTAATTGACTGTTGTGGGAAATAAGGTTTAAAGCAAATGGGACAATGCAAAAAAATTCACTATACAGTTTTTGTGTGAAGTCAAGCACAAAACCAGTTTCCAGCGCTAAAAAAATAACAATGCATACATATATTTGCATACAGCAGTGAGCGGCATGAACTTACACATCTAAATAAATATGTACTGTATGTTTAGTGAATCTAGCTAGCTGGCAAAATGAAACCGAACATCAAATTCGGGAAAATGGATTCCGGTCATGAACAGAAAACTCTTAGCCCATTGTCGACCAGTGGGTATTGTAATATCAGCACATGTAATATGAATTTTAAAAATGTTATTACGCATTTTAAGTGAAATATATAGTGTTTAAAAATGTAAATTCAACCAAAAAGAATGGAAGGAGCTACAAGGAGAATTTGCAGAGAGTATTATTTGTATTAAGGTGTTCCACCGCTTAAATAAAGCGGGTGTAAATGGGTTAAGAAATTATTTTTTGTTGGTATACTTACGGTATAATTTTCAAAATTAGTGTATTTTTTTTAATATATTTATGTATTTGATCGATCAAACGGCCACACTGCAACTTCACCGCACTTAGTTTTTTTTTGTTGATTTCGCGAAGAAAATGGCAAATGCTGTACGTAAAACTTGAAGTAGTTGCATTCGTGTAGCATTGGTCACATAAATATGCATTTACAGGCCAGCACAAGTGCCGGAGCAGCAGCAGCAGTCGCCGGGGCTGGGGCTGTGCCTGGGGCTGGCGAGGAACAGCGACGCATCTGGGTGGGAAATTTGGATTCGCGGATCACCGAGTAAGTTGATTGCAGCCAAAATGCAGACCCAAAACCAAGCTAATAGTCACTCTGCCCTTGCCAATTATCGGTTTCAACTTCTCAAACTAATGCAAAAATGCGGTCCCATCGAAAAGTTCGACATGCTCTTCCACAAGGGCGGCCCCATGGTTGGCCAGTCCCGCGGCTATGCCTTTGTCACATTCGCCCAGGTACGTAACCACACACTAACAACATACGCCACTGTGCTCACTGCATTTCCATCCTTCCACCATGCCCAGAATGAGGGAGCCACCAATGCGCTGCTCAGGCTGGATGGCACAAGTGTGGGCAGCCGCTCGATAGCCGTGCGCCTGGCCAAGAACATCAAATATGTAAGCACAATGCCACCTGATATCTTCTTCATCCTGTCTAATACTTTAACTGTGCGATAACCACATAGGATGATCTGCAAAAGCCCAAGCCGCGGATTGAGATTCCCGCTCTGGGGACGGGCAAGCGCGAGGAGAAAATCAGCAAATCCGAGGCCATACGCGCCATCGAGGCCAAGCTGAAACACTTGGAACGCCAGACGGACGACAATCTCGAGCTGAATCCGAGGGACGGCATCAACGCGAACGTGCCCTTCATCCAGCGCTATCAGTTCAACAAGGACCGGGACAATACTCAGCGCTATGGCAAGTCCTCGGCCCCCTACCATCGACAGCAGCGTCCGAAGCGACGCTGAGGCCACCGCGAGCCACTTAGTTTACAAGAAATGTTTAGTACTTAGGGCGCTACCTCAGCAGCAGACAGCCTGACAACCACACCATTTACTTTACAATTAATTTATTTAAGAGATAAAGACACACCCAGCATAAAAGGAAACGCATTACTTTGGGGCAAACTTGAATTTGCCGCGCATCTGTTCGGGCAGTGGGACGGTGCCGGGGCAGGGTATCTGGCCGGGAATCTCGCAGATGCAGTGCCGGTCGCAGCCATAGCCGAAATTGGCCGGATTGTCCTTACTCTCCTTCAGACGGGCCTCCGCATCCAGTTGTTCGCTGAAGGATAATTAGCAAATGTTTAAGAATTGCTGGAGCAGTAGATGGCATTTAGCCAGACACTTACCGCGTCTTGCCAACCACCTGTACCAGATGGGCGATGATTTCGTCCTTATTGCGGCTGTCAATGTCGATGAGCATGTCGCGGCCATCGTCAAAGTAGCAGCGCACAAACGGCGACGGCGTCATATTCTTCATGGTGAGCACCTGCACCTCGGGATTCTTGAACTGCACCTGTGGAATGTTCCAAAACACAAAATCCCTGGAGAGCACGAGAGAAACGATTACATTGCGTTTCGGAGCATTAGAAGGCATACGAGGACCCACCTGGCGCCCGCATGATGTTCGCCGTATGTGTTGTAGTTGACGCTGAAGATGCGCACCTTGTCCTTGAGCACCAGTTTTCCTGCATTCAGGTACTTGAGGGTGCGCCGGATGGGCTCGCGTCCCTTCATGAAAGGCATTCTGGTGTTTTAATTGAAATAAATGGGTGTGAAAACAAAAACGTTTTTTTAAGCGGCTGCTTGTGTAATGCGCTCAGCTGATGGCCTAGTGTGGTCGTATATTTCAATGTATCGACACGATACATCGATATATATATAATGCACTCGGAACGAAGTTAAAAGTAATTACATTAAACAACAAAATTTAACAAAATGCACATGAAATGTTTCGCAATGCAAAATATTTCTTCAAATAGAAGCAATTAATTAAAACATCATGAAAGCGAAATCGATATCTGAAATCAATACACATATCGATATGAATTCAAGCAACAACAACATTACATGGAAGCCGGCAAACTTTATAAGAAATCGCTTAATTACCTTCGTTTTGAATCGTTTTATTTAACAATATAATGGAAGTAACATTGGCCGTGATCAAGCCTCACGTGCTGCGCAATACATACGCCCTGCAGCAGATTAAAACCCTGATTGAAGAGAACTTTCGCGTGCTCGGCCATAAGGAGGTGCACATTACGAAAGAACTATCGGATCGTTTCTATGCGGAGCACCGGGGCAAATTTTTCTACCATCGCCTGACCACCTTCATGAACAGGTGAGTGGGACAGAGTCCTGTCCTCCGCCTGCTACGTGGTGTACAACCCGGACTACATCCTCCCACCCTACCCCCTGGCAGCGGACCCTGCTATGCGCTCATACTGCAGTCGGAGGCCTCCGTACAGAAGTGGCGCCGCCTGATGGGACCCACCAAGGTGTTCCGTGCCGTCTACACCGAACCGCAGTGCATACGTGCGCTCTACGGCCTGTCCGACACACGCAACGCCTGCCACGGATCGGATAGCGAGGCCTCGGCCCTGCGTGAGATTGGCATTCTGTTTCCGGAGTTCGATGTGCTTGCCGTGGCTGACCGCGAGTCCAAAAAGAGGACGTAATAGGACGTAATAGCCAAACGTTTGGCCCTGCATTTTTGTAAATTTAAGACAGCATCAGTGAATATTTGCAAAGCCCTTGGGTGCTGCTTTTGTAGGTGCATTTTAAGTCGGCAGTGCTCGGTGGTCCCACTGTATTTGGTACAACGGCTGCCGTAGGTTGGAGCTCCTACATGTCTGTGACTGCCTCTACTGAGTAGAGAGTCGGACAGGAAGCTAATGCGTCAAAGGACTGCTGATATTCTAATCTCACTCAACGAGTATACGTTCAAGTGGAAGACAATACTATGCGGTCTACATTAGATATTATTCCTGGATAGCATTGTATTTTGTGTGTTTCAAAAACTTTATTTATCATCAATTTCTGGTTTACATAATACAATTCATTACTCATTTATGTTTTACGTGGTAGGTACATGTATAGATAGAGATTTTCGATTTGTTTCTGGTTACCGTTTTAGCTCCATTGTAAATAGTTTTGTAATTGTAATAAAAATTATAAAATTTATAAACTTAACAAATTATACAAATATCTACTCGTATTTGTGTGTTGTGTAGCTGTAGTGTAGCCCTATATAAAGATATAGATATACATATGTATATATGTTTTTTTTTGTATTGTATATCGGTTCAGACAATTGATAGAATAGAGAAGCATCGCCAAAGAAATGGGAAAACAGAAACAAAGCAAAAATCAAAGACCAAAATTGTAAATTCATTTTGTAGGTGCGAGCGAGACCGCGCACCTTCTTCCATCTGTCTGTCTGTCTTTTTCTAACTCGTGCAAGTGGGCACAAAAAAAATACACCGAAACGCCTATAAAATATTTAATTATAAAATAGGGAGATTTTTTTTCGCTGAAGGCAACAATTTCTCAAAGCTCTACAGATCTAAAAAAAAAAAGGGGAAAACTAAATAGAGGGATTCATTAACAATTATCCGTATTCCATATTAATATTGTTAATTTTTTGCTTTGTTTTTTGTTTTTTTTGCTATTTTTTTGGTTTTGCATTTTTTCTCATTGTTTGCGATCCCTACTTTTTGTATCAATTAGAAATCTTTAATGCCTATTTTGCAGTCCTACAATTTTCACAATTCGCACAAGCGTCTCGTCTCACCTCGTCTCGTCTCTCTTTTCCAGTATGAAACGTTCTTTAAATCGTTATTTTTTCTTTTTTATGTTTTGAATATTTTTTTGTTGTATTTTCTGGTTTTTTGTTTGTTTTTTCCTTAAGTTCCCCACATACATATACACATATATATTGCTATTCCAAACAGATTTCTAGATCGTTAATCTTGTATATAACTCGAAAAAAAAGGGTAAACAAAAAAGTTGCAAGCTCTGCGGCGGCATCGGTGTTGCCAGATGTGGATAGCTTTAGGTGGGTACTGTACTCCTTTTTTGGTTGTTGGTGGTGTTATCTTATCTTTCATTCGATGACTGTACTTTAACCTTGCACCTAACTCGGCATCATGTCATCTCTGAACCGCATTGCAAGGACCTTTCCAAATTGTTTAAATGTGTGTGTGTGTGTTTTTTTTTCTTATTCTCGTTTTCTTGTCATTTGCTTATTTACTTTGGTATCCTATCAACTATGCAACGTTTGCCTAGGCGCGCTACCTTTCTGATACAATATAGATATATATGGGGAGGGAGGGTGTATATTTTATACTTATTTCTGTATAGTAAGTATATGCATATATAACCTTTTGAATGTAACCAGCTCATAGCATAAAAAGACTATTTCGAATAGTTTTTGTTTTTGTTTGTCAATGACAACGTCAATATATATCAATATAGGTTGCTATTTCCTTACTCCTTTTTGCTTTCTGCTTTCCCCTGCTTCTCTCGTGTGTATCCTCCTCTCATACCCATTCTGTACTTCAGAAATTATTCTTATATTCTTGTATAGTAAATAATGTTTGAATGTTTTCTTGTCTCTCTCTCTGACACCTTTTACCCTGTACCCTGTACCCTGTACCCTTTCATCTAGCTTTTGAGCATTTGTTCACTCGAACATGGCCATCGATGAGGTGGGCACAACCTCCAGCAATAGCTGGAAGAACAGCGTCACCTTGTCTGTAAATGTTAAAAATTGATTTGTATATTTTATTATACTTATAATATTGTGGTTTACTTACTCATGAAGCGCGGTGTCATGCCCAGCTTGACGAATGGCACATAGAAGATGAGGCCAGCAAATATGAAGAGCAGGGCATACAGATACTCAATGCGAGGCGTCTCAAAGATGGGGGCTGCCACAAGATAGATGGATATGACCAATACCACAACGGGAATGATGATCGGCACTTTGTATGGCCGTGGATAGTTGGGTTTGGTGTAGCGCATCACGATCAGGGCCAGCATTGCGCCGCCGTAGAATATCCAGGCGGTGAAGCTGAAGAAATCAATCAGCGAATCAATCGTGCCATGCAGCACCATTGCCGAGGCAATCAGCGACTGGACGGGGATACGAATACAGAGAAAGAGATACAGAGAGAAAGAGGAGTTTAGAACGGGGGATATTTTGCCACAAAATCATAACACACGCAACATATGGGGATGGGTTATGGAGGTAAAGAGCCATTCACAGGGTGCCTAAAAATCTATGGATAGATTTTTTCATCGATTGATTGATGTAAAGTACATGAAGTGGTCTAACGGCTGGATTACAGGAGAAATTTAATCATTTGTCGTCTTCGTAGAGAGTTCAAGAAGGCTATGAAGAAGAAATTATTTATGCAGACTGAACTTCTAAGACTCGCACTTAATTTTGGAGTTTAATTGGAGCATCATAATTGGAAAATATGAGCGTAAAATGGGCATAGAAAATAAGGATTTGCCTTCATTTTTATGGAATCAAGGGGTACGTACAATGACTTCTTTGGTACGAGTACGACGGGTAACATCTAAAGCTTCAAACGGTTTTTGGGTCTTGAGTAAGGGGGGGGAATATGAAAAGGGAGCGAGGATACGGTAATGGAGTCGAACATAAGTAAATCAAAACAGACAGGGAAATGGACAGATGGTGGGATAGATGGATCCTCTGTTGCATACTCACGTGGAATATCAGGCCCGGGGCTGGTGTGAGGCGTCGCACATGGACATAGGAGAGAATGTCCAGCAAATGGCCCTCTCGACTGGCGGCAAAGCAGAGACTGCAAAGCAAACAGATAACTGTTAGAGGGATTCATCATTACGAGCGAGCCTCAAATGCTTACCGTCCAGCTGCAAACAGAGTGCCATTGGCACTGCCGAATGTGCTGATAGTCACACTGAGGGGCATCAGCCAGGCCATGGCGCCCAGTATGCGATTGCCAAAGGTGACGGCCACTGCCTCCGATTCGATCATCTCCTGTGGCGACATGGCCGCCAGATAGGAGATGTTGATCAGGGCATAGCAGAGCGTCACCAGCGGTATGCCAATGATGATCGAGCGAGGCAGATTCTTGCTGGGATTCTGTATTTCCTCGGTGACATAGTTGAGGTTATTCCAGCCATCGTAGGCCCACAAGCCCGTATAGAATGCCGTGGCAATCGCTCCGACGTTAGGCATCGGTCCATTAAATGCATTCGACAGGTGCTGCGTATTACCCTGCATCAGTTTCCAGGCACCGCCACAGATGACGATCACCACGGCGACCAGTTTGGCGGCGGTGAACACATTCTGCACGGCCATGCCCAGGTTAACGCTGTAGCAGTTCACGAACAGTATCATCACTGTGGATGGCAGATTGTTGAAATTTCGGTCATTCTGGAGGTCATTGAGATCTTACCAATAGCCACCAGTGCGACCATCTTCACGACACCCCTGGGCGGATCACACTCCGTCACAAAGGCCTCAACGGCATACTGTGCAAATGATAAGCATATTATAGCCATTTGTGATGGCTTCAACACCAATGTCGATACCCATGAGAACAGGAACGCCGGCGCCGGTCCATAGGCATCCATAAAGTAAGCCCATTCCGCACCAGAAGAGGTGTTCATCGTTCCAAGTTCAGCGTATGCCAGAGCGCCTGCAAAGCAATTGAATATTTGTAAGGAAAATATGCGTTAGACTTACGTTACTTTGGTTTTTGTCTAGTCTCTTTTGGTGTTCTCAATTTGTGTATCTTTTTGATTAAAATAAGCTTTACAGTGCAAGATTCTTTGGGTATTTTCTTTTTCCATATTTCTAGCTTGGAACTAGCTGCACTTGACTCTGAAACGTTTCACTTTCTTATTGATTGCCATGATAAACCACCTGAAAATTCGATTTTCTGTCGGATCGGACCTATGTATACTTCTAAAGCTTGGAATTCGAATTGAATGTAGAAAAAATAGCAAGTTCTTTCAATGGAGCCCCACTCTTGGGGCTATTAAGACTCTGTGAAATGTTTCATTGCCTAAATAATTTAAACTCTTTTCGTTAACATTTTTTGGATTTCTCTCTATAGATATTAAGATATTTACATACTCTATGGCAAAATAAAAGCCCAGAGAGCGCGAAAATCTGCACGAATAAGTATATAGCAAGTGTATTGGCCCCATGCCAGCCGTGCAACAAGTTGTGATAAATGATGGCCTCTCGGATGTTTGTGATTTTGGCCATTTGGCAGTCGGTAAGTGGGTCAAATGCACGTGGCTAGACGCCGTTGAGTGCGACGTGTGAGTGCACAAGTGAGTGTATAAGTGGGTGCATGAGTGTTTTGTTGAGTGTGCGGATGGATGGTTACTTACCCAAAAGCGAGAGTACACCACAGGCAAGCCAGATTACAAAGCTAACTCCAACGGAACCAGTACGAACCAGTAAACCGGAGGGAGACACAAATATTCCAGACCCTGCAAACGAAAGAGAAAGAGAAAGAGAGAGGGAGACAAAGAGAGAGAATGTGCATAAGTTACCGTTGCATATGTACGTTCCCGGCAAACAGCTGTTTCTTGGAGGGGCTTGTACTTTTCAGCTCCTTCTCTATATTATTTATGTTAATGCAAGATTAGGAAGGGAAAGGAACGGGACGGGGCGGTACAGACAGGCGTCATAAATGTGGGAAAGTCAGAGAGAGGGAGAGAGAGAGAGAGAGAGACAGCGAGCTTTTTAGGGCAGGCAGAAAGCTGCATCTCTCCGTATCCAGGCGTTCGTTGGAGAACGGAATAACGGTAAATACTGGTATGTATTTTGTGGGGTAGGTACAACGGTATGCCCCATTTGGTGTATTATATGCCGGAGGGGCGGGGGCTTGGGGCTTGGGGCTATGCGTGCAACAATTTAGTAACACAATTGCGTGACACAATTGGCGCCATTGCCAAAGGTCAAAGTGCAATTCCAAAAAGAGCTCCATTGGAGCCCGATTCGACTATTCGTGTCATAAATATTTACTCTGTTGCCACATTGCGTCACGCCCACTCCGTGTATGTATATGTACCACAAGAAACTCTCGTTAATCCGTAGAGCCCCACACGGCCGCCTCTCTCTCGCTGGTGTGTTGCCTGTTGCCGCCGCTGCCTCTCCTGTCGTCTCTCCCTGCCCAATGCCGGATTG